CCAAATTCAAAACAAAAGTAGTTCAGTTTGATACTTCATGTTTACACAAAAATGTTATTAAATGCATCACACATGACATAATCTATTAAAGTCTAATTAATTTAAATGAGAAACAAAGCCAAAAGTGTCTTAATATTAGAAGTAAACATAAAAACAATCCAGTCTTTTTGTAGTCTAATTCGTTCTAGAAAAAGTTGCAGAAAATTTTAATAATTTAGAAGATACAAGTAACATAAGCATTGACTGACAGGGTGGAGAATATATTCAAATTAAAATGGTTATAATATGTTAGGGAAATGAGCATGTGAGAGGACTGAAAATTTATTTTAAGTGATTATAATTCAACATCAATCAGGCCATTATTCCTGGTGTAATGATCAATCTTTGCAATTTATGCTTATAATGAAGATGTGTAGGCCTGAATATGTCTTTTTTCCATCTTCATCAGAAAAAGTTGTGTCTATGTAAAATGTCTAGAACAATTGAACCAGATCGTTTACCAGTACTTGAGGAAAGTTTTTGACTTCAGTAGTGGAGAATGGTCCTAGATGGAGTAAGACCTTGATACCTTAGACTGGGAAAAATGAGAATTTCTGTGGTTTCTGTAATTGGTGACTCCACTGATTTCCTAATATATAGTAGTGGAGGTAAAAAGGTCAGAGAACACTGGTCACATAGAGGATTTAGATTAGACAATGCGTAAAGCATTTCTTTAGATATGTACTATATTTGATATGAATATTGTACACGTAATGTGTAGCATTGTTAAAAATGAAAAACAGAAGATATTAGAAAATACAAGATGGATTACCCAAACATGTTGAGAATTAATTGTTAATGATATTTATTACTTATCAAGTAATTGTATAGCATAATAAAAATTACTTTAAAAATGCATTAAAATTACATGCTTACATTTAAAGAAAAAAGTGTACCTTTATTTGAAAAATAGGGACAGGGTCTACTTATTTTAAATCATAAAATACATAGCTTATCCATAGCTACTTGCTTTAAACTAGTCAGAAGCAATCACATTTTATGTCAATTCAACATGCATTACAAACAGTATTTTTTACTGAATTCAGTTGATTAAAGTTATATTAGATTTTCTCTATGTTTATTTATCCTGTTTTCATATTCTTTAAAGTTAAAAATTGCACTGTCCTTCAGAAGACTTTGGGTATATCAAAGGCATATTTTTTATGTTGCCTTTCTTTACTAATTTCCATGGATATCTGCATGAAAGGCACAAATAAGTGAAATGAATGAACTAAATAATGCAACTAGCATGGTAAAACTGAGCTCACAATTCAAAGAACTGTCCTCTAAGTAAAGATGAAAGATAGCATTAAAAAAATGAGAAATATAACCAAAAATGTTACCACGGTAAATACTCATAGCTTCATCTAAATAAATATATTCTTCATTCAGGCTTGGATTCTACCTTGAATAAGATATCTTAAATGCTATGTTTAATTACAGAAAGCAATATGAGTACAGAAAGGTGTTTTTGATAATAAAGAAACATCATCATGGCAGGTCTGGTGTTTCCTGGCCCTCCACTCAGCAGATGAAAGCAACATAGAGTTTGCATCTCCGAAGCTCCCACACAGCGAGAGCCACTCAGATACAGTGACTCACGGTTCTCAACATAGACACTAAATAAGATCACTCTAGGCATTTTCCAAACCTCCACCCAATGGCAGAAGTCATCTAGGATAATTGCCTCTAGGCCTTCCAAGCAATGGAAGAAGCTAAATCAAACCTGGGGTCTTTTGACTTTCTACAAAGTTGCAGAGAGCCCCCATATCCCATGACATTAATATTCCTTAAATTGGTATATATATATTTAAAAAAATCTATATGAAAATGTCAATAAGTGTTCTTTTGTAGATACAGAAAATATTATTCTAAAATTTATATGGGAAGGTATGAACAATACAATACTTAATGTAATCTTGTAAAAGAAATATGTAGTGGAAAGAATCACTCCAATCAATAAGAAGTCGTAATATCTCTCCAAAATAATTAAGTTAGTGTGGTGTTAAAGGAGAGAGAGACATATAGATAAATGAAACAGAATAGATAACCCCCAAAACAAAATCAAACAAACAGATGCAACTAATTTTTGAATAAATGTGCCATAGCAATTCATTGGAAGTGTGATAGCCTTTTTGACAATTGATGCTGGAACAGCTGAACATTCATTCATAGGCCTTATAAATAAAGAAAGAAATAAAAATAATTTATATATATATATTATTATTATTATTATTATTATTGAGAAAAAACTCAACTGGCTTCAAGCCTAATGAACAATCCCCAGATTCAGCAGCTCATGTCCGGCATGATTTCGGGCGGCCACAACCCCGTGGGAGCTCCTGGCACCAGCCCCTCGCAGAACGACCTGGCCAGCCTCATCCAGGCCGGTCAGCAGTTTGCCCAGCAGATGCAGCAGCAGAGCCCAGAGTTGATAGAGCAGCTCAGGAGCCAGATCCGGAGTCGGACGCCCAGCGCCAGCAACCACGACCAGCCGGAGTGACGCCGCCCATTCCCGGCGTGACCGCGTCCTTCCCTGGCCGACTGGAAGCCTTCTGGTTGTTTGCTGTTTCCTCCTGCTGGACTGCCTGGGAGGGGAAGAGAGAGGCCTCGGACCTGCATATCAAGATGGATTTTCCCTTTGTCTCTGCCTCCTCCACTCCCTTTTTGTAACTCCCCTATAGCCCCCAGACCTTTCTTGAAAGAGCCAGCAAGCTGAGCGCAGCCCAGCAGCGACCTCCCTCCCAGGCCCCAGACAGCCCATCACTTGAGTATTTTCTAGAATCCTAGGGTGCTCCCGGCCCCTCTCAGCGAAGCTTCCACGTTCAGCCGCGTGGCGGATCCTGTGGCTTCCGGAGCCTTTTTCCAGCCCCCGCCCCCTCCCGTGGTGTGTGTGCAGGAACTCTGCCGTCCTGAGAAGCTGCTTTCCGAGTCGCCCTCCCGGCCTCGCGGGCCCCGTGCCTGCTCGGAAGAGCTCACTGCCAGCTGCAGCCCCGCCACTGCGCTGCGTGTCTTTGCATGAGGAACTCTACCGGCAGACATCCAGGAGGCAGCTGCAGTCACCCCCGCCTCCGCGGCCTGGAGCCGTCGTGGGTGCAGAGGACCAGTTTCTGCGACTTTCTCCAGGTGCGCGTGTGGGCAGACACGCGTTCCCCTCCGCCCACCGTCATTTTCCAGTCCTCGAGACTAAGAGCCACGAGTGTCATCATGACCTTCTGTCCCGGCTGCCTTAGGCGTGGGCACAGGGAAGGCAGCTGGGCCATTTCTGTCTGTGCCCCATCCTGCTGTCCTTCCGTCCTGGGTGTTTCACAGGCCCGGGGCCCGCCTGGAAGCTCATCCCTCCAGTTCCAGGTCGAGGCCACGGGGCACCTCTGGTGCCACCCACCTTGGCCCTAAAACAGCCACCAGGAGAGCAGCCGAGAGCCAGACAGTGGGGGACCTGCCTTGGCTCCTGGGGCCTGGGGGTGGCAGGTGAGCGGCTCTGCGGTCCCAGCAGCAGGGTTGGCAGTCGGAGCATCCTGGGGATCCCTGGGTCTTGGCCGTCTTTGGGGTAGGCGCAGTACCGTGTGTCGTAGGTAACAGTAGGAACGGGGCCCCCGTGGCTCTGCAGCCCCTCACGGCGGTGAGGCGTGTGCCGAGCCCATCGGGTGCAGGGCGTGACGTGTGGGAAATAAATAGGCGTTGTGACCTCTGTCCGTCTCCACGTTGACCTTGGCGCCACCTATCCCCCGCAACCCCAGACTTTGAGAAAACGCCTGAAGCGGACTTTGCAAATCAGCTGGGCTGGTTGTGAGTAAATCCCCTCGATGCCTGGAGCCGTACTTCCTGGGTCACCGGTCCCAGGAGGTTCCAGACGGCCATCCTCTACTCTCCCCTCTTCCCTCGGCTTCCGCCCCCAGCTGCATCACGGTGCAGAGGGTCCCTCCTGGGTCAGGTGAGATGCGTTGGTCCTCAGCAGAGTGTGACCGTATTGTTGGTTGCTTTTTTTGCATGTGATAACACCAGAAATTCTGTAACCAAAGGCACCTCCCTTTTACAACGGCTCTCCCAGGCAGGAAGGAGCCTAGAAAGCTGGCCTGTCCCGGCCCCAACCCAAGGCTGCTGCACAGGGTTTTGTTGTGGACGGAGAAAGTGCTCCCTGGGCCGGGCGCGGTGGCTCAGGCCTGTAATCCCAGCTCTTTGGTAGGCTGAGGCGGGCAGACCACTTGGAAGTCAGCAGTTCGAGACTGGCCTGACCAACATGATGAAACCCGTTCTCTACTGAAAATACAAAAAAATTTGGCAGGCTTGGTGGCGGGTGCCTGTAGTCCCAGCTACTCAGGAGACTGAGACAGAAGGATCACTGGAGCCTGGGAAGTGGAGGTTGTAGTGAGCCATGATTGCACCACTGCACTCCAGCCTGGCCAAAGGAGCAGGACTCTGTCTCAAAAATAAGTTATAGCCAGGTTCCCGCCTGTAATCCCAACACTTTGGGAGGCCCAGGCGGATGGATCACTNAATAACTAAAGATAATTTAAAGTCTTGTTTTCTCATTGAAACCTCTGAATGTATATATTTAAGATGTACAACTTGATATTTGATATACATTGTGAAATGATCGCTACCATCAAGCTAATTAATATCTTCATTACCTCTACATAATTACCATTTTGTTTGTGTTGTGTATGTATATGTGTGATGAAAAGATTTAAGATATATCTTTTTAACAAATTACACGTATGTAATATAATACTGAACTGTCATCACCATGCTGTACGTTGGATCTCCAGAAATCATTTATCTTGTATAACTGAAACTTTGTACCATTTGACCAATATCAGTCTATTTCCCCTTCCCTCAGCCCCTGGCAACCATCTTACCCTCTGCTTCTGTGAATTTGGCTCTTAAATTTCACATACAAGTGAGATCATGTGAGATGATGATCAAGTGAGATCATTTTTTGTTGTTGTTGGTTTTTATTGTTGTTTCTAAAGTACAAATTCAGTTTATTCAACTGTTTACGACACAGTACACAGGAGGCAAAGTGTTTCACATCACAGATTTCACTTCCAACTCCTTGGAATGTTCATTTCTTTGGCTTACAGGAGAGATTAGACAGGAAAGCCAGGCAATGCTTAGGCAACTAGAATGAGGGTGAGGGTAGTGTTAAGGTCATCCTCACAGGGCCGGCGATAGGGACTGTTAGTCGCAAGGTGGTTTTCTAGACCTGTTAGCTGGAAGCGTAGGGAGCACCATTCCTGGATGCTCACACCGCGCCGGGCTTCAGTCATCTCCACCACACAGGTACAGCAGCGCTTTCTGGTAGTCACCCTTAGTGTCTTGCTGGATGTAATAATACAGGGACTTGCCATACTTTCTCTTGAATTCAGACCTAATTTTCAACATGTCCACTTCACTGCGGGAGACCATGATTCTGATCAGGACCTTATCTCGTGTCCCCTTGCCCTTCATGGAGTCGTACAGCCGATCAGCAAAATACAGGGGCTTGTTCTGAATGCACTGGACCAGGTTCAGGAAGGCATTTTCCAGGTCTCCTTTAACCTCTTTCCTGATGCTCTCCAACATGTCATAAGGGCTGTAGCTCTTGTACCTATCAAATACTTTCTGCAGGTGGCACACGCTCCGCTCGGCCATGATGCTGATCCACTTGGGAACATCAGTTCCTTTCCTCTTCACTCCAGCGTCATAGAATAGTCTTTTTTTTTTTTTTTTTTTTCTTGATAGCTGTCTGCCAGAATGTGGCTCTGAGTGCAGAGGACAAGCTTCTTATGCGACACCGGCTGCGGAAACACAAGATCCTAGTGAAGGTCTACCCCAACCAGGTCCTGAGGCCTTTCCTGGAGGATTCCAAGTACCAAAACCTGCTGCCCCTTTTTGTGGGGCACAACATGCTGCTGATCAGTGAAGAGCCCAAGGTCAAGGAGATGTTACGGATCTTAAGGACTGTGCCATTCCTGCCGCTGCTAGGTGGCTGCATTGATGACATCATCCTCAGCAGGGAGGGCTTTGTCAACTACTCCAAGCTCCCTAGCTTGCCCCTGGTGCTGGGGGAGCTTGTAGGAGGCCTCACCTGCATCACGGCCCAGACCCACTCCCTGCTCCAGCACCAGCCCCTCCAGCTGACCACCCTGTTGGACCAGTACATCAGACAGCAACGCAAGGATTCTGCTGTGTCAGCCAATGGGAAGCCAGATCCTCCTGACCATGTTCCAGACTCGTAGCCAGCCTGTTTAGTCAGCCCTGCCTATAAATACACTCTGCCCTAAAAAAAAAAAAAAAAAAAAGCCTGTGGCATGCCCAGAGCACAAGACTAAGGGCATCTGTAGATGTGGTTTCTAGTCCTGGCTCTGCCACTAACTTGCTGTGTAACCTTGAACTCCACAATTCTCTTTTGGGACCTCAATTTCTACTTTGTAAAATGAGGGTCCAGGTGGGTTTAGGATCTCGAGGGGTCTACTGGAATATGAGTCCAAGCACACCAGTGCCTTTTGAATGGGCAGAAATGAGAGAGAGAGAGAATAAATGAATGAGGTTGCATTGACTCAATGCCAATGTCACTTCCAGGATTCAGAATTCAGAGTTGTGATGCTCTCATCTGACAGCCAAAGATGAAAAACAAACAAAAAAAAAAAAAAAAGTAAAGAGTCTATTTCTGGCTGACATATTTATGGCTGACAAACCCCTGGAAGAATCTATGTTGCTTCCCATCCTGGCCTTCCCAGATGTTTGGCTACCTCCACCCCTCCATCTCAAAGGAATAACATCATCCACTGGGGTAGAGAAGGAGAGGGTCCTGAAGGTGGGGGGAGGGATAGAAATCACATCCCCCCCCCCCAACTTCTCAAAGAGCAGCATCCCTGCCCCGACCCACAGCCATATTTTAAAGTCACCTTCTGAAGAGAAGTTCAAGGTCCCAGGACACTGGTCTAGCAGGCCCGAGAGAGCAGCCACCACACACTCCCAGACAAGCACATCCCTTCTGAGATGCCACCTTCTGCCCACCGCTCACAGACACATTTCTGCCTAGAAAACAGCTTCCTCCTCCTCTTACATGTGACGGCATTTCTTACACTAAAAGAATATTATTGGGAGAAAAATCACAAGTGCTGTACAAATGCTGAGCGACTGCAGAGCATAATAGCTGCCACCCAAAAATCTTTTTGAAAATCATTTCCAGACAACCTCTTACTTTCTGTGTAGTTTTTGTTTTTTTAAAAAATGTTTTAAACAGAAGCACATGCTGTACGAAAGCCTGCAGGACTGGTTGGTTCTTAAATCCTTCCACGTGAGACTTGTCCACAAGAATGAAAGTAGTGGTTTTTAAAGAGTTAAGTTGCGTATTTATTTTCTCATTTATGCAGAAGTTTTTCTTGTAGAGAATGGCAATGTTAATATTGCTTATGAAATAACAGTCTGTTCTTCCAGACCAGAGACATTGTTAATAAAGACGATGAATCATGAAAAATATATATATAAATATTTTATATTTATATAAAATATAAATATATATTATACATATAATATATATAAATTTATAAATATATATTTATAATTTTCTTTATATATATAAAAAATATATATTTTTTTATATTTAAATTTTTTAAATATATCTATCATATATATATCTTAATATATATATTTTTTATATATAGTCTCATATATAAAAATATATAAATATATTTATATATAAATATATTTATATATATTTATTATATATAATAAATATATATAAATATATTTAGATTTATCATTTATATAAAAAACTTTAAAATTTTGGGAAAATGTATCATCAAATTTTACTAGAAAAGCTAAAAAAAAATCTCTGCTACAAGAAATCAAGGAACAAAATAAAGAGCTATTCCATGTTCATGGACAGAAAGATTCAATATTATTAAGATAGCTGAGCTTCCCAACTTGATCTATGGAATCCATGCATTCTAAATCAAAATATGACCAATTTATTTTTTGGAGCACTGACAAACTTATTCTAATGTTTATATGGAAATGCAAAAGACCCAAAATAGGCAATACGCTATCAAAGTAGAAAAATAAAGGCACAAGACAGACATTATCCAACTTCAAAGCTTACTATACAACTGTAGTAAGAAAAGTAATGTAGTGCTGATGTAAGAAAACACAAATATATGGAAAAAAAAGGAAGATTAACAAGAAATAAACTTTTGATACACACAAAAACTTGAATGATTCTCCACAGGTTGATGCTGACTAAAAAAATGTATTATCAATAGGTAATAGGTAACATACTGAATCATTTCATTTATGTGACGTTTTAATTGTTGTTAAATATATACAAGATAAAAAGAGCATTTGTGAGCATGCAGTTCTGTATCACTAAGTACATTACATTATTGTGCAATCATGAGCACCCTTCACCTTCAAAACGTTTTCCTCTTCCCCGTCTAAAACTGTGTATCTATTGAGCATGAATTCTTCACTCTTTCTTCCTCCAGCCTGTGGCAACTACTATTCTATGTTCTGTCTTTATAAATTTGACTCCTCTAGCTACTTCATATAAATGAAATCCCAATATTTCTTCTTTATGACTGAGTTATTTCACTTGTCATAGTGTCCTCAAACATAATCCAGGTTGTCACATTTGTCATTGATTTCATTCTTTCTTGAGGCTGAATAATATTTTATTGTACATACACACCACATTTTATCTTTCCATTCATTCGTTTTGTAACATTTTCAGATAGAAAATGGAAATGTAAAAATGATTAGTGTTTGGCAAGTGATAGGGATGAAAATAAGAGTGAGGAAGTAGTGGGTGCACTTTTATAAAAGGGTAACATCTGATATCCCAGTAGTAATTAAATGTGCAGATTGGATAAAATTGTATGGAACTAAATATAAACACAGATACTTAAATTCCTACATGCATAAAACTGCATAAATCTGAATAAGATCAAAATCAGTATTCTAGCTGAGATCTCTGCCATAGTTTTGTAAGATGCTATTATTAAAATAAATTGGATAAAATGTTCATGGGATCTCTTTGTATTTATTGTTACAACTGCACTTGGATCTACTGTTACTTTAAAATGAATTATTTAATTAAAAATAGATAAATGTGTAGAACCTCAAATATCTCATTATTTAGTATCATTGGGAGTATTCTTAATCATAGCATCTGGTAATGAAGCATCATGATGAATCCGATAAAAACATTTGGTGAAAAACATCCAAATAAGACTTAGGATTAAAAGCTTTTATAGAGAAGGTATTTGCAGCATATATTAAAAGAAAAAATATTTACATAAAAAATGAAGGTGAGGAAATTGAGGCCATTTCAGGCAAAAACAATAACAAGAAGAAAAACATGCTGAGATATATATATGTCTTTATTGAAGGAAGTATGAATAGGATTGTCCAGAGCTGATCAAGGAAAATAGAGAGGGTTTAAAAAAAAAAAAGAAAATATAAGTAAGTCATGTAGAGTATTTTGAATTAAATAAAAAAGACAACCTAAATCATAAAAGCACTGACAGTGTGATTGGATTTGCATCTTTAATAAAAGCATGAAATAAAAACATGTAAGATAAACTATTAAAGTGGTTTAGACTGAAAACTGGAAGGGCAGAAAGGAAGTTATTGAAATAAAACACCATAACATTATGCCTAGGCTAAAGTAATGGCAGGGAGTCAGCAATGAGAATCATAAAAAATAACGAAGTAGAATCTAATAGGGAGAAGGAGGGAGATTATTTGAACTCATAGAAAGAGGAGTAAGACCACATATTATAGGTCATTGTACATAATCTTAAAAAGTAGAAATGTATACATGTAGCATCTTGTGTTCTGCAGTACAAAGTGAAGATATTTGAACAATACAGCAAAGAAAAATGCAAACGCTGAAGATGAAAAGAAAGTAACAAGCTGGCTGGGTGCAGTGGCTCATGCCTATAATCCCTGCACTTCGGGAGGCCGAGGAGGGCGTAACATGAGGTCAGGAGTTTGAAATCAGACTGGCCAACACAGTGAAACCCTGGCTCTACTAAAAATACAAAAAAATTTAGGCTACATTAAAGAATGGGTGACAGAGCAAGACTCTGTCTCAGGAAAAAAAAAAAAGAATATAACAAACCATACCTTCCAGAGATAAAGATATATTTGTGCAAAATTAATTTAGTTTAGTAATTTACCATAATGTAAATATTATTTTTTCTCAAATATTTAGTTCTGTTTTATTCTCTAAGAGCATTAATCAAGCATCACCAGAGATAGAACTATCTAAATCTAAGTGCAACTATTGACTGTGTGGTCTCTGGCTTACCACACAGGTAAATAACACGCCTCTGCAATTTGACCTTCCGGGACTACCTCAAATGAACTTAATGACTGGCCTCTGGGTTTTAATATGTTCTTGGCTCCTGAGTTATTCTCATAATTCACCACATTTTACTGAAGGTATCTATTTCTCCATGAAATTGATAGTTTGTTTCCCTCACTTGGCTTCTGAGACACAAGGAACAATTTAAAATCATCTTGTTATTTTCAGGAATTCATTACTCATTCAACAATAATCTTGAACCCAGCAGTTACTTCATTTACAAAAGATTAATTTCAATACCATAATTGTAAGAGGCTTCTAGCATAAAAATATTTATATTTTCTGTATTTTGCCTACACCTTAGAAGGATATGATAAATTAAAGATACATGAATTAACATTGTGTTTCTTTTAAAGTGAAATTAATATATTGGAATTTCACTTCTTTCTGAAATTTTTAGAGATTTTAGATATGCTTTATCCGAAGACTGTTAAAAAATAAATATTCTAAAAGCAACTGCATAATACATGTATAATATTATAGTCATTTACTCCATAAATTGGCATCTCCCAAGTATTGTTTTATACCTGTGAATGATTTATATATGTATTTTTTACAAACAAATTATTTATGAGTTAATATGTTTATATATATGTATATATATGGTACCGATATATAGTACTAATTTGATAGTTTATCTGAAAAACTTCCTACTAGGAAACCTTATCTACTATCCAGGTCAAACTAAAATATATATTCAAATGAATACACATACATTTCTATAATAAAGTTTGTAGTTACCTTAATAATTACTTTCCATGTATTTCTGAATTATGATATTTCAGTGGATACTTCCAGAAGGTGCACTTAAAATCCCTTACCTTTCATTATACAGTGAAAATGAAAAATGAATGTATACAGTGAGATTATAAAGTGCTCTGTGGTAGAAGCCTTGCTTAGAGACTCACTGGGAGATAACAAAGCTCTCCC